TCTTTTCCTTTTCATTTAACAAAAGAACATGTTAATATGCAGGACCTGGTGCAACCATGGGCGGCATGTGTGCTACACGTTGCTCTGGGTCTTTAGCTGTAAGGTAGATGTCTCTGCTTCATTAGTTGCAAGATCATGTCCATCATTCAAAATGCTATTACATGTTGGAGGAAAAATAATAGCAAAGTGGCAGGACTTTTTTCAAAGTAATTAGTTGATGGAATACATTTTTCCTCTTTTTCCCTCTTGGTTTAACATTGTTCCTCCTGTGATAATTTTCTTAATTTTTTTAACCTTAGTTGTTCTTTTATCTTCCCTTTTTCTTTTAATCTTTTCAAGCTGCAATTTCCATAATTATGTAATTTATTTCTTTTAGAAAAACAAGAAGATGTCACCTTTATGGAGTGTTTGGTTTCCTCTAGTGATCTAATGTAAAAAGTCTGCGTGAAAATTGATTACCTTGTTTGTTTCCACTATAAAATCATGTAATCAAGCTTGTAACACGATAAAGATTAAAACTAAAACTGTAATCATGACTATAGCCTCCCAACTTTGTAATTGTTTACATCATATTGCATTTCATTACAAAATTATTAAATCCAATCAATTCTGTTGTTGGTTTCAAATAGGTAGTAGGTCAGGAAACATTTTGTGTTATGATATGGCTTTTTGTCACGCCAAATTTTGGCAAAATAACCTTTTGAAAAGGAGACGGAACTTGCATTAAGATTTGAACATCTCTTTATTTCGGTATATATCAAGAGATATATTTCAAGAGATGATATATATGATATGGTGCCGGATTGACATCTGATACTGCATATTTTCTTCTGCTTTTCTGTAGGGTGCTTTTTATCTTCATTCTCTAAGCAATTTCCTGGTTCAAATTTATGCAACTTGTTCAACATTGATGCTTTTGTTGTGCGCAAAAACTTGTCACCTATTTAGTGGACAAATAAAATTACGATATGAGAATTGAGTTTGAATTTTCAGTGGTGCTAACTTATCATGCTTATTTATTTATATAAAACCTGATTGGCATAAAAATGTATTTCCATGGTAAGAATTCCGTGAGGTTGCACTTTCATGGAAGAAACACATAACTTCGTCGTCATGGGGAAAGGTATAAGCATATTATTTCCATATGAATTGTTGAGAGAGCCATCATAGTTGGATTCATCTTCTTAAACCATCCTATGTTTCTACTTTTTCTTTCTGTTTGAAGTTATGGTTGATGCTTTTCTCTAGAGTGGTTGCCCAAATTCACTAACAGTTGGTAGTAATTGACTTTACTCGTCAGAGCTGTCTTTATATGATACTTGCATGTTCAGATCTTATTGGCTTGAATAATTTTTCTTCTACCTTTGTAGGTATGGAACCATGCGCGATAATGTCATCAGTCTCAAGGTTTGATTATTCCCTCAATGATGCATGCTTTAATTGTTAGTTATAATGATGTGATTTGTATATTGTGTTCTTTATAGGTAGTTCTTCCCAATGGAGATATTGTGAAGACAGCTTCACGTGCTAGAAAGAGTGCTGCAGGGTTTGTTCTGTCTTCAATCTAGTCACTGCCAGCTGCTTAACTTTTTGATTAAAGAAATGAAGAATAAAAAGAAGATATTTGTGAAACCCAAAATTTTTCTCAAGAAAATAAGTATTTAATGAAGCCTAAAAGTTTTTTAGTAGTTCGTATATGAGGCATCTCTTGTCTTACCTCTAAGCATGCAAGAGCATATCCTATTTGTGATTTATGGAAGAACTATGAACAGTAAAGATCCAAAGGTCATACTTTCGCATGAGATGACTCATTGGTAATGATTGTGATGTCATCTTACCATTTGGGTTGTTGTGGCTTTTTAGTTTCTAAAGTGCTTGCATCATCTTTGTGTGGGATACTCAAGACTGTATTTGCTCATCATTTTTGTATATAAGTTTTTTATATTGCTTTTGTCCTTTCCATTCATTTTTCTCTATCATTGTTGTACCTGTTATTGCTCAAATTTTTCCAGACATTTGGCTATTCTTGTCTCAAATTTTTTTTGCTTTCATGATGGGTGGCCATGACTTAATGTGCTTTTGCAAGTGAAAATTTTCCTCAACTAGCCTGCACAAAATCTCATTCATCTGATTTTTTTTAGATGGATATTCAGAGAAAACCTTGCTTTGAAGTTTGAAATGTGCAGGCTGTTCATTAGTTTGTTTATTGTAGGTATGATTTGACCCGTCTTATTATCGGGAGTGAAGGAACTTTGGGTGTGGTAACTGAAGTCACCTTACGCCTCCAGAAAATTCCTCAGCATTCAGTGGTATGTTAATTCCTAATTTTTCTGTCATACTTTGTTTTATTTTAGATAATTGAGGCGTGACCGGAAAACATTGGCTACTGATGTGAATAGAATCTTGTTTTTTTGGTGAGAACAAGACACTGATAGAACATGGTTCTGAGGGATTAAGTGCTTTTTATCTGACTTTTAATTTTCTTATTATGGGGAAATGGACCTTAAAGGGTCTAATCCTTGCATGAATATACAATCAAAAACCCAACATTTTGTTTTGTTCGTTCAAGTACTTCACATTTTGAATTGGGTTTAGTTAAGTATTTTGTATAACTACCCAATTAATTGTTAATTTTACTGCCATGTGAAATGCTACACTAACACAAAATAAGTACGAGGCATGTTATGCCATTGACCAAATTAGTAGTTAATATTAAAACATATTTTTTGTTACTGATGGTAAATTTGACCCAATAATTCTTCATACTTATAGTAAATAAAAGAAGATAAAACATTGGTATTTTGAACTGGTTTAGTTTTCTCGATTCAAAAAGTATAGATTATTTGGTTTAAGTTATTACCATCAGAAAATATAAAATAAATTAGTATTATTTTTGTGTACGTGACAGTAAAATTAAGGTGAACTGTTGTAACACAACTAAAAGGGAATGTAGGAAGGATAAAGCTCCTGGGTTTGATATTTTTTAACATGAGTTTGCTCTAGAAGTTTTAGCATGTGATAACGAGTGACATCGGTGCTTATTCTAAAGGCTGAGGAGGCGATAAGTATCAAGGTCCTCAAACCCGTCAACCTAGTGAGGTGTGTGTATAAATTCATTGCTAAAGTATTGGCAAAGAGAATAGCTAAGGTAATGGGAGGGTACTGAGAGAATGTCAGCATGCTGTGGAAGGAAGACAGATTCTAGATGTGGTCTTAACTGCAAATGCGATTGTGGACAAGCTGAAACATAAGAATATGAAGGGAGTTCCCTACAAGTTTGTTATGGACAAAGCCTATGGTCATGTGAACTGGGGATTCTTTAATTACATGATGGAGAGAATGAGTTTTGGGGAGAAACGGTTAGATCCTGCATTTGTAGGACCTCCTTTGCTCTTATGGTTAATGAGGGACCATAATCTTTTTTCAAAGCTAACAAAGGTCTCAGACATGGAAATCCTTTGTCTCCTCTACTGTTCATCATTGTTATGGAGGTGCCTAACAGAATGTTCTGTTGGGTTAGAGATCTTGAGATGTTCAAGGAGTTGAAGGTAAGGGATGTCGAGCATGTGGAGGAGGTGAGTGACTTATTTTTGGCTAATGACACATTGCTTTTTGTGAATCAAGTAAAAAACTTTTACTCAACTTTAGCTGTATTTAGTTAAACTTACGAGCAATATCTGGCCTCAATGTTAGTCTTGCCAAGTCCGAGTTGGTGAGACTAGGTGATGGGAGGGAGGCCAACAGATTGTCTAGTATTCTTGGTTATAAATGTGTGAACTTACTGATCAAATATTTGGGGCTCCCGTTAGGGGTAAAAAATAAGGGAGTCTCAACTTGGGACCCAGTGGTGACACATTTTGAACAATAGTTATCTCGATGGACGAAAAATCTTTTATCTAAAGGTGAAGATCTGCTAGGTTATATAAGGGAGTCTCAACTTGGGAGCCAGTGGTGGCACATTTTGAATGGAGATTATCTAGATGGAAGAGAAGTTTTGTATTTAAAGGGGAGACTTGCTTTATCAAAAGCACTATGGCCAAGATCCCCATCTATTACATGTTTTTGATGACGATCTCAGTGAGTGTGATCAAAACACTAGAATCCCTCACACAATGCAAATTTTTATGGAGAGGTTATAAGAATAAGAGAAAGTCCCATCTTTTGGCTTCGGATAAGGTCAAAATTCCAATTCATCAAGGTAAGTTGGGATTGAGATCATTGGTATAGGTTAATATAGCAATTTAGGGGAAATGACTTTTGGAGATTCATGAATGAGGATTCAGTCTTTGATGGAGGGTGATTGAGGTGAAGTTTGGTACTATAGGCAGAGGATGCCTCACTGGGATTTTGTCTAGACTCTGTAGTAACAGGATGTGGAAGAAAATCTGCATGAGTAAAGGAAGTTCTAGAACTGCACAGCCGGAGGATAGGCATTGGGAATAAGGTCAGATTATGGCATGATACCTGGTTGGAGTATAGTACTTTCAGAGCTCAATTTTCCCATATTTATGCTATTTCCAGGTATAAAGATGCTTTAATTCAGAAATCTTACCTTGGCACTATGGGGAATGGGAGTGGTTCGTAGAGGTCATGAGAAACTTCAATGATTGGAAAATTAGGAATACAAGGCCTTACTCCTCACCCTTGTTAGGATTAGGCTTGGTAGGAGCAGAGATCAACCCATCTGGAGTTTCAGTGATAAAGCAATATTCTCTGTTAGATCTTTCTACAGCCACCTGACAAGGAGAAAGGCTACAGGCAAAGACTTTCGATCAAAGTAAATTTGGAAGGTTAATGCATCAGCCACAATTGTTTTCTTTTTGCTTGGAGGCAGTTAAATGATGCTTTCTAATGTTTGACAAGCTGATGAGAAGGGGGTAAGATTCTGGTTAATGGTTGTTTTGTCTAAAAAGGATGCAGAGTCGTGCAATCATATCCTATTGTGGTGTCCCTTTTTCTATAGATTTTTGGACCCTTGCTAATGGCCTCGTGTATCAATTGGATGATGACTAGCTCTGTAAGGGAAGAAATTTGGGAATGAAGAGGAATTAGTAGTGTGAAGAAGCATGTTAACCTCATTCCCTTTGCTACTTTTTAGTGGTATAGAAAAAAGAAACATGAGAGCTTTTGAGGGCATGAAAGTAAATTTTGATCGGGTTAAAGTTAGCTAGTTTCAGACCCTAGATATTTTGATTAATGGTCATTCTCTTTACTTCTTTGAAGATCTTGGGGATCTTATTAACATTTTTGTTTGATATGTAAATATTTTGTATACGGGTTTACACCCCCTTAGTGCTTGTGAATGAATTATATACTATATTATTTTTATTTAAAAAAATATTGAATTTTTTATTTTATTATAAACAATTTTTTTCTAAACAATTCTTTATAGTACTTACCCTTCTTAATTATTTATTTTCTATCACCATGTTATATTCTAGAGTTTACTTCTTCCTATCCTGTCCTGTTAGGAACAAAATAATGTCTTATCCACAAGTTTTCCAAATAAGAAATAAAATCAATAATCCTGTGTAACTGCCCTTATTTGTGTTAGTGTTAATGTTTATTGTATAATCACTATGCAAATATGTTAAAGTAAGTGTTACGTGTGTATTAGAGTTAAAAAATCAGTTTGTTATATACAAAGAGGAACTGATGGCAGTTTAGGCAATTCTAGAAATTTGAATTTCAGTTATTTAAAAAAAAAAGAAATTTTAATTTCAGGATTAATGATTCCTCTTTGTATATATCCCCTGTTGTAGGGTAAAGACAGTCTTATGATGTAAATTTGATGTTAATGAAGAGTATGTTTCCACTCTAGAAATATTTTAAAAAAATGTTTCTAATCTAGAGATAATAACGAATTCTAATTATTTCCCTGTTTTCTAAAGATAGGGAAAGACAGAAAATCAAATGAAATGCAATTATACTTGCTGATTTTATTGTGAATCACCCCATAACGTGATCCATCAGTAGAGACCGTAACATATGCTCATAGAGGGATTTTTATTAGTCAATCTGATGATATTGCAGTTGCAATGTGTAACTTCCCTTCAATTAACATGCAGCAGATGTTGCAATTGCTACTATGTTGTCTGGTATACAGGTAGGAT